CTTCTCTGTTTGATGTTTCAAAAGATGACTGGCCCACATTTTCAAGCACCAAATCTTCATCACCCTTTTCACTCTGTGCTTCTTGTTGTTGATTTCTCACAAGCTTTTGTCTTCTCTCATTCTTTTCTTCCTCATCTTCTTTCTGATAAACTTGGGAAGATTTGTATGAGTTAAGCAATGAGGTAGTCATGGAAATAATTAAAGTAAGAAGAGCAAGCAGCAAGAAAATCCGGCCACACAGCAAAATGAAATCTTTAATTCCTATCTCTGGGATTCCACACTGGAGTTCCAGACACAAGAGAGGGAGAGCAGAGAGCAAACAGATGCCAACGACCACACAAGACGCCATGGTTACATATCTTTTTAGACAGACATAAACTCGAGGCCAAAGTTATCATAAAAATACCAGAACCACATAGGATGGAATGAGGCAGAGAGCTAGTATTAGAGAAGTAACCTCAGGAAGGGACCAGCTCTAGGACCCAGGGGGATTATAGTTGCTACAGCTGTCTTGCTACTGCCACAAATCTGTTCACTTTAAAACACAAAAGGCTATTATTAATTGTGCTGCTATAAACTGGTATTATGTATACATGGGTCATATGGAATTTATAATTTTAGTTCTTTGAGAAAGCTCCATATAGATTTTCATAATGGTTGTACTAATTTAGATTCCCACCAACAATGTAGGAGGGTCCTTTTTTCACCACAACCTCACCAACATTTTTATTTTTTCATTTATTGATGTTTATAGCAGCACAATTCATAACAGCTAAATCCTGGAAGCCACATGTACACCCATCAAGAGATGACTGGATGAAGAAAGTGTGATTATCTAGATACATAATGGAATACTATTAAGATATAAAGAAGGACAGATTTGAGAAATTTGTGGGAATAAGGATGCACCTGGAAAATATGATATTGAGTAAAATAAACCAGACACACAAGCTTAAATATTATATGGTTCTCTCATTTGAGTGAGGCAAAGTACAAATAGATTAATAAAGGATGTATAGAAGAAGACAGGGGGATGCATCTCTTGCAAGTGGGAAAGAGTCCAAGGGACTAAGGGTGAGGAATGATGGGGAGAGGAAGGGGAAATAAGTAGAATAAAGATATGCCATAAAAAAAGATATGCCATGTACAGGAATCTAATACTCTCAATTTTTTTTTTTTTGGTACCTAGGATTGAACTCGGGACCTTGTGCTTGCGAGGCAGGAGCCGGAACCACTGAGCTAAATCCCTGGCCCTTAATACCCTCAATTAATGTAAACATTATATGCTACAAACATGAGCTAAAATTAATAATATTGTTGCATCTAGGGCTTGAACCCCACTGTTCCACTGGGGTGAGCAGCTTACTGGGATTATAACTCAGTAAAGCATTAAAGATACAAAATTTAAGGAAAGAAAGATCTTATTGGAAAGGAGGATAAAAGAGAAAATAGTTACCTCGATAAGAATCCGGGTAGAGGGATCCAGAAAGATGGAGGAACTATGGGCCTTCATACATGGCCTTTTTTATGGGAGTCAGAGACCTTTCCCCCTTCCTGGAACTTTCCATGACTCAATTGGCTTTCAGGCACCTCTACCTACATCATCTCTTCTGGTGGTCTATGTGTAGCTTCTGTTTATTTGTTTGTTTTTCCAGTACAGGGATCTAACTCAGGACCTTGTGTTTGCAAGGCAGGCATGGTGCCACTTAGCTAACTCCCTATCCCTCCATTTGTTTGTTTTTTACAAGTCCTATACTGGTCTATATTCATTAGTTCCTGGTTTGCATACCAGAAAAAGTGGGGTGTTCCAAAATGACTGGCATCTATCCAAGAGTACATGTTCTAGGAACTGTTTTAAATGTCCTTGACTCCTTGCATGGCTTCCTGGGGGAGGGGTTATTGGCAGACTCAACCAGAATTGCCCCTGGTTTTAGTCCTACTATCACTAGTGTTTTATTTATAGCCAGTCCAAGTGGGTTATCTTCGGCCCACACCCAGGGAATCTTATGTGTCAGTCCATGTAGCTCATCTATTCTTGTCTTTGGTGACCTTTCTGAAAACAATCTCCACTCTTCAGCTTGTAGGATGGTAAGGGTTAACACCATGGCCCCTGGATGAGTCAGATTTAAAGTTATATTTTCTTATGGTTCAAAGGTAATTTGGACCTCTGGTCTTTGGAGCAGATCTCTTCCTACCAGGGCAACTGGGCAGTTTGGAAGATAACAGGAATTTATGTTGGGCCTCTTGTCTCCCTTTGACAAACCTTTTAGGCCAGCAAAATGGCCTCTTCTCTGGGACTCCAGTGGCTCCAAAAGTTGTTACATGCTTTTTGGATAACATCCCAATGGATTGTGTCACTACCAAGTGTTTAGCCCCACTGTCTACCACAGAGTCCTTCAACTGACTTCCTATTTTCATTGTGACCATGGGCTTCTGGGGGCCTAAGAAGATGGAACCCAGTCTTGCCTAATCTTCATAACTTTCAATTCCTGCCAGTCCAATGAGGTTGGTATTTGGCTCCTTCTGTGGGTGGTAGCCTTTAGCAATCAGTCTCTTGGTTTCATAATTTTCATCATCCTCACCATCATTTTCTGGGCATTCATTTTTCCAGTGTCCTTTCTTTTTGCACTGTGCACATTGATCCCAATCTAGCCTTGGGTGATTCTTGGGTCCTTACCTGGTTTGGCCCTTTCCCTGGCCATGTCCCTGCCCCTGCCCTCTTTCTGCTTTCATTCTCCTCCTGGTGAGTGCTGCCACCAGCAGATCTGCTCTTTTTTTTGAGCCTTTGATTGGCTTCCCTTTTGGCCTCCTGATCATGGTTAAAGTACACCTTGGTGGCCACCTCTAAAAGCTAGATTACATTCATGCTAGTATTCTAGATTCTGTAGTTTTTGCCTGATGTGTCCCTGAGCTGTCCCACAAAGGCTGCATTTACCATGTGCTGATTCTCAGTGGCCTCAGGATTAAATGAAGTGTAGAGCCAGAATACCTCAAAGAGCCTCTTGTAAAACTGCCTGGGACTTCCATCAGTTCCCTGGAGTATTTCTTAGATCTTTCCCATATTGATTCCTCTCTTTGTGCCCTCCTTTAAACCTTACAAGAGAGCCTCTCAGTACCTCTGCAAGCATAGTAACTGAGCTGTATCACTTAAGTCTCAAGTGGGGTGTGCCTCAGGGAATTGGTCCTGAACATACATTTGAACATTCATCATGCCTGCTGGCATTGTCTTCCAATCAGTGGAGGCTCCTTGAGTCACTCTTCAGCACTCTTCAGTGTTAAATGACATTAGGAGAAGCTCTTTGGTGTACAGAAAGGTTGGATTATGTGTCTGGAAGATGGAGTGCATCAAATCTATCAGGGCTTGGGTCCCTTCCATGTGGGAAGGAGTATGGTATTTCCCAGTTAAGGAGGTCAGTAGTTGAGAAGGGCTGGTATATAAAGCTCCATTGTCCTCCTTGAATTTGCCCATCTGTATCATAATAAATGGGCCCCCTAATTTCCTGAAGGCGCATCTGCAAGTCCTTGTGTGGTCCGATCAGAGGTGGATCATGGTCCAATCAGAGGTGGCTCATTTGATCATTTAGGCCCTCATTTCCCTCCTGGGGCAATGGTTCCAATTTTTCACTCTGGGGTGATGCCTGGGACTCATTGTCATCTGATCTTCCTTCCTTGTGGGCTGACCTTGGTAAGGGAAGATAGATTGAGGAGTAAGGGGTGGGATATCTCTGCCTTTTCTGGTGGATCTTGTAAAACTTGTTTTTTTTCCTGCTTTTCTTTTGTTCCTGAGGCTCGTGGAAGAGCTGATTCTTCTTTCTCGTTCATTTTAGGCTCATCCTGGGCCACGAGTGTTTTGCAGTATGCTGCCAGACAGGTTCTGTGGCTATGTGGGTCAGATCTGGGCTATATTCAGTCATGAGTTGATGTAAGGAAATGGGCCTGGCTCCCCCAGCTGTCCTCCATCCTTGGTCACCACCGGATGTACATGCTTGATTGTTCCCCTATCAGTGGGCTATCCAATATCAAAGGAAGGCCAGTCAATTTCACAAAGAGTTCTCAACCATAGTCCCTTGTGTAACTTTTCTTAAATTTCTTTAACATTCATTCTAATGTGGTGGGTTTTGATGCTTTCCCTCCCATATACTCCCGTTATGGTTCAAATCACTCTCTCAATCACTTTTGCTTTAGGCTGATTAGACTATCTCCCTCAAAGGAGTTTTCAGGCACAGCTTAACAATTGGAGGGTTTGTATAATAACAAGCTCAGACCCTACAACTGACCTACCATTTGTGGGGCACCTCCATAAGCCTTATGTTCAATTCTTTTTTTTTTGGTACCGGGGATCAAACTCAGGTCCTTGTGCTTGCGAGGCAGGTGGCAGAACCACTGAGCTAAATCCCTGGCCCACCATAAGCCTTATGTGGATTGCCACCAGTTCCAGTTGGTCCCACACTTACTTGGGGCGTACAGTCTATGTAGGAGACCTGCGGCCCCACACATTTCACTCCACTCATCCATATACCTCTTCATTTTCAGCTCCTTTTCCCAAATTGGATGTAGGTTTTGTCTGAACTTGCCTGGGTTGGATTACTGGGTACACATCTTGTGAGTCATTCTCACTGCAGGTCACACCCATATTGCTGACTTGGGGTTTTAGGTTTTGATCCAACTCAATCTGAGCCAGACTACTCAGTACACCCCAGTAGGTCATCAGGCTCCCCTTTCATCCTTATAGGACAGGCCCTACTTCAGGCCCCAAAACCTTACCTGTAGCCCCTCAGCTTTCATTGTACTGACAAGGGAGGGCACTGGGCTATTAGGGAGCCAATTCCCTCTTTGAGTTTAAATCTCACCCAGTGGTACTGGGGGTCTCAGGGTCTCTCACAGCTCAGGATCCCCAGGTTTGCAGGCAAAGGAGACAGTAAGATTGTTATCTCTGATCCCGTCATGGCTGCCAGGGAATGTTGCCAGGGAAATTAAGAGACTGGTGTGACCAATGGGTGAAACAAAAGGATTTATTTAGCTGCACACTGGCCCAGTGGATTCGCATCCAAAGGCTGAGCCCCAAAGAAAGAAAAGGGATCTAGTGTTATACATGTAGTCAAGGAGTTGTTCTATCTAGTGGTACAAAACTGGTGGGTGGGCAAACAGGTTTCCAGAAGGAGGACAAAGGTAGCTAATCAAATAGTGACAGTTTTGCAACTTAACAGAATTTTATAGAAGTGAAGGATCATAAAAACCTTACTTACAGGAACAAAGTTAATAACCATCATAGAGGAAGTCAGGGGAAATTGCTCAAGGTTGAGGAGACTTGTTTTTCCTTTTTTTAAAAGTTCTGCTTTACCCCTACAATATCAACAAGAATGAAAATGGGGAAAGGGGAATTAGAAAAGGGAGGGAAGAAAGAGGAAAAGGGAAGGAGTTTTAAAAAGAAACAAGCTGTATTATGTATATACAATACAACCTGTTCCCCAAAGTGACTATAAATGGCATGTACTGCAAACATGTATTAATTTTTTTAAAAAAAGAAACATGTAAAAGGCAACAGGTTTCCTTTCTGCTCTTCCATGTGGGGGAAGCCCTACGCTGGTCCCCCACCCTCTAATTCTCTGGCTCTCCCAGTTAACCAGCAGAAGAAAAAAAAGCCAAAGAATTTGAGTTCTCTGACAGTAAGAGGCTGGGTGAGGGGCACATTAGGGACAAGAAGGGGACTGGGGCTTCCCCGAGAGAGAGAGAGAGAGAAGGAAAGCAAACCTGAGAAGGGTATCTACTTGGTGTGCGACCATAGATTCCACTGCGTCCCATGAACAACTTCACCCACTATCCAAGTGGCCGCCCAAATCCACGCAGTCCAGGGCATGCTCCCAGCTGCCTCCCTGAAAAATAGAAGCGGTGGCATCAGGCAGACTGGGTCCATGCTTCTCACTTCAGTCCCAGGGGAAAGATCAAGGAGGCAGACTGAGGAACGCTGCCCAATCCAGGGCACCACAAATCCACCTCCCCAGCTGGTTCCAGGCCCAAGAGTGTGTGCCCAGGCTGTGATGCTCACCTGCCACTTTGCTTTGGCCTGGCTCAACTCCACCCCTAAAGGGCTATAGAAAATCCCAGTCACTAAAAAGAAATTCTCATGCTGAATGGAAAAACAGCAAAAAAGGATTTGTACAAATACAATCCCAACAGATATGTGGGAGCCCTTTTGGCCCTTGTGAAGGCCAAACTCTTTGCTCTGTGCCCTGGACATCCTTTCCCCCAGGAGGCTTCTCCATCCCACTGGATACTCTGAACGGTTGTCTATCCCATGTGCACAACAAGTATCCTTGGTTGCTTGTAAAAATGGAAGAGAAGGAAATGTTCCCCAAAAGGGACTTACTTACCTTCCTAGCTGGCCTGGTGTCTCTGGCTGCTGGTTCCTGGCTAGGCTCAATGCATGTGATACCATGTGTGAAGGACTCGAGAGACAGATTCTAGATCCTTCTGTACATCAACAAAGAATTGCAAGTGTACGTCTGATGGTAAAAGAAAAAGCTACATTTACTGAAATTATCAGGAAGGTGTGCTCAGAGCATGCAGGGCTGTACCAACATAAAAAAAAAAAGGTGGCACGAACAGGAAAAATGGTGCTGGGACGATGGGGGAACAGGAAGAAAAAGGATAAATCAGGTTTTCAGGTTTAAAAGATGTGCGCCCCAGCCCATGTGCCTCTTATTGGATTTTTCTGGATAGAATTGAAAGAAATGATCAAAAGGACTACTGGATTCACCATCCTTCTGCATCAGCTTCCAGGTAGCTGAGAAGGTAAGGTTCCCTCCACCTTGCCCTAACTGACAGCTTAGTTAGAAAGGGCCGCAAAGAGAATCCTTTTGCAGTATAGATCAGTTTCCAATACTCATGAAACAAATTAGGTACTTTTTAAATATTCAGGGTGGGAAAAGAAATGGCAGAGCAATGAATGCCAGCAACTCAGCTTCTCAGGACAAAGTCTCTAGAGTCTGGAAAACAACAGCTAAGAGAGAAACCAAAGTGAGTGGAGGGCCCATGGGAGCCCCAAGCTAATTGACAGAGGAAAAGAAAATAGGATTAAATGATACGTAAGAAATAGCTCACCAGTGCAGGCCAGAGACTGCACACCACCATGGAGAGAGGCTGTGTAGCCACCAGCAGAGTCAGTGAAATCAACTTTTTCTGTTCTTGGAGAAATCTGACTTGGGCCAGGAGAGTCCCACACAGTTGGAGACAGCAGTGAGAACATGAGCCAGAGATCTCCCAGAGTCAACATTTGGTGAGTGATGGTAGAATGGTGCCCCAGCACACAGTCTCACAGAGCAGAAGGGAGTGGGTGGGTGTCACCATTTTGTTTAGGATAGGATTCAGGGCTTGAACTTCAGTCCAGAACAGTCCCACAGTTGCTCCACTGCCAATTTCCCAGAGTGGAACAAGAGGGAAGGGCAGTCTGGTCAAGGTAGAATTCTGCTGAGAGGTAGGGGCTGGGACCACCCAGACTCTTCTCTGGCCCCTTGTCTCCACCATTGCAGACCTCTAGACCCAACATTTGTCTGGACATGGACTACCCTTGGTTTTCCAGTCTGAACAAAGACATACACTGCCTAGAATTCTGCTCCCTAACATGAACCTGAGGAAAGGAGCCATGAATCCAAAACAATTGAACTTTAAAAAATATATATTGTTTTCCTCCTTCTATACATTACTCCCTATATCTTTAATCCCATTATTTTATACCATTCTTTATTAAGAGCATGTCTATGCATCCATGTTTTGCCTATGCTTACTTTTGTTTTTGTTGTTTGTTTTACAAAAAAGGAACAGCAAGTGTTATTAACTCAAGATCACAGGCTCTGTCAGACTCTACAAGAAAGGCTGCAACCTTGCAGAAAGAGGTCCTGAGTCTGAGTTAACCCCAGCTTTGCAGCAGAGTGAACATAGGAGTAATTAGAATATGATTAGTCAGACTCTCTGGCAAAGAAGTGACTTGGGAATCATATATGCAATGGCTCATTGGAATATTTAATTGGTGTTCTCAGTGGACATTTTGTTGGTTTAAGTTTTGTGTTTCTTGAGTTATTTAGTAATTTGGAGTTACCTACTTTTATGGTTTCATGTATATATTAGATTGTTACACTTGTAGAATGGTGCTTTCGTTGGCTCTGATTTAACAGGTGTCTAGGTTCTCTCCCTCATCAAGAGACTAGAAAAATGGGGGGAAGAGTATCTGCAAGGACTACCATATAGAAATTTTATAAGACTGAAAATGTGGATGCTGTATAAAGTGAAGCAATTCTTGTGGCAAAACATAGGGACAGAGATGAAATCACTTAAAGTAAACAACATAAGTAGAAAATACTAGAACTGGACTTACAAAGCTGAAAATAACTCCCAGGGAGTCAACATCCTACTAAAAGTCTCCATTATAACCACATACTTGCCTCACTTCTCTAGTCCCTAACTGACAGTAACCTCACCAAAAAAAGGGAAGAGAAAAAAGAGGGGGACACATATAATTAAAATATAAATATATACAAATAAATATACCTACGAGTAGAAGAATGGGGAAAGAAAGTAATAGAAGATTTTGACCCCTCCCCAACTCCCCCAAGCAGAGCAAGGGGCCACAAAGGGAAAAGAAAACAAATACCAGATAGCAGAAATCCATGAAAAGTTCTTAGAAGGGATAAAGAAAACAGAAGAGCTCAAAGAGGAAATAACCCAAAAGTTTACAGCAATGACACTCAATTTTCCATGGTGAATTTCAGCAAAAAAGGTAAAAAACTGGATGAGCTAACCTAGACAGTTCAAAACTGGAAAGACAGATTCAACAAGGATATGGAATCCTCTCAAAGATGTCAGACAGAAATACCTGAAATAAAAAACAGTACAGAATTCATACATTCCAGAAATTACTACTGTGAAGACAGAGCACGTGATATTGAGGACAAAATAGTGAATTACAATCAAGAGCTCAAAGGAGCCAAAAATAAAATAAGAGAAGAAGAGAAGACAATCCAGTAGCTACTACCTGAAAACAAAAAGAAAACTAATCTAAGGCTAATTGGAGTTAGAGAAAAGCTAGAAGAGGGCCAGGGATGTAGCTCAGTGGTTCCAACGCCTGCCTCGCAAGTGCAAGGGCCCGAGTTTGATCCCTGGTACAAAAAAAAAAGAAAAAAAAGAAAAAAGAAAAGCTAGAAAATCACACAATGGATTCACCAATGGGCTTATAGAAATTATCAAAGAAAACTTCCCAAACACAAGAAAAGATTTCAAAGTATAAATGAGCGATGATTATAGAACACCATTTATGATGAAAGGAGAAGTTCATCAAGTCATATCCTCATTAAATTTGCAGATATATAGCAGAAAACAGAATTTTAAAGGCAGCCAGAGAAAAATAAAACAAAAAAATCACATATAGAGGCAAACCAATTAGAATTACAGCAGACTTCTCAGCACAAATCCTCAAGGCCAGAAGAGATTGGAGTGAAGTATTTCAAGCCCTAAAAACAAATAGCTTCCAATCCAGGTTAGCCTACCAACAAAACTATCCTTCTCCATCAAAACAGATGAAGAAATAAGATATTTCCATGAAAAAGACCAGCTCAGAAGATTTATGAGTATTAAACCAGCTTTAGAAAAAATATTCAAGAATCTCAACAGAAACATAGGATAGGATACACCTAAAAACAAAGAGGAAACTAGTCAGCTCAGTGGATAAACAATCATAAAAAACAACAGGAAAAGTAGAACAAATTATATACCAAGAGATAAAGAAGACAATGATAGTAATAAATAGCCACCATATCTCAGTAATATCAGTCAATGTTAATGGCCTCAATTCTCCAATGAAAAGACACAGAGTGGCAGACTGGATCAAAAAACAGAATCCAACAATCTATTGCATTCAAGAAACCCATCTAACCCTAAAAGATACTCATAGACTTAAAATTAAAGGATGGAAAGTATCTCATGCACCAGGATCCCCAAAACAAGCAGGAGTGACAATTCTAATATCAGACACGGTAAACTTCAAGTTAAAATGGATTAGAAGAGACAAAGAAGGTCACTACATACTAGTTAAAGGAACAATACAACAGAAGAGATAATATTGATCAACATATATGCACTGAATACTGGAGAATCTACCTTCATAAAACAAATACTGCTGAAATTAAAAGATCAAATAAACCTGAACACAATCATAGTAGGGGATTTTAACACTCCACTTTCTCAAAGAGACAGATCAACTAAACAAACAGCTAATAAAGAAATTTCAGAGCTGAACCACACCCTTAAACATAGTGACTTAATAGATATATAGAGTATTCTACCAATCTACACTAGATTATACATTCTTTTCAGCAGCATATGGTACCTTCTCCAAAATAGATCACATACTAGTCCACAAAGCCTGCGTAAGTAAATATAAATTACTGAAGTTACCCCATGCATACTACCTGACCACTGTGCAATGAAAATAGAAATCAACGACAGAAGAAAATTTGGAAAAGATTAACAACATACTCCTAAACAATCAATGGGTCAAAGTAGAAGTCAAAGAAGAAATTTAAAAATTTCTGGAAGTTAATGACAATGACTGTACAACTCAATGAAACCTTTCAGACACTTTGAAAGCAGTTCTAGGAGGAAAATCATTGCAATGAATGCACACATTGGGAAAATAGAGCAAGCCCAAATAAATAACCTAATGAGAAATCTTAAGATACTTGAGAAACAACAATACATAAGCCCCAAACTGAAACTAAGGAGAGGAATAATAAAGATGAGAGTGAAAATTAATGAAATTGAGGCTAAAAAACTATGAAACAAATCAACAAAGTGAAGAGCTGGTTCTTCAAAAGAATAAAGTAGACAAGCCCTTAGCAAGACTCACCAAGAGAAAAAGAGAAAAGATTCATATAATTGCAATTATAAGGACAAGGTGAAATCACAACAGACACTACTGAAATCCAGAAGCTAGTCAGTAGCTACTTTGAAAAATTGTATTACAACAGATTAGAAAATTTTGAAGAAATGGACAGATTCCTAGACATATACAAACTATCAAAACTAACCCAAGAAGACATAAATATACTTAACAATCCAGTCACAAACAATGAAATTGACTTAGTAATAAAGAATCTACCAAGTGGTGGGAGGGGAAGGGGAAAGGAAAGAAGGGAAAGGAAAAATTATGAGAAAAAAAATAGAAACAAAATCTATGTAAATAGGGAAGGGTGGAGGGGTTGAAGGGTGCACAGGTAATGGGGAAAAAAATAAGAACCAAGATACATCATGTACAGGTACAAGCACTCCGTGATAAATGAAAATATATTGTATACCTAAAATGTACCAATAAAAGAATTTAAGGAAAAGAAATAAACAATCTATGAACCAAATAAAGTCCAGGACCTATTAGATTTATGGCTGAATTCTACAAAACCTTTAAGGATATTATATCACCAATACTCCTCAAGCTATTCAAAGAAATTGAAAGGGA